AGGTATATATATATAGGTAATAAAAATATATGTACATATAGGGATATAATATATATGTACATATACGTAACACTGTAGCAGGCTCTTAGATATTAAATATTTCAACTAGTGAGTGATATGAATTGTAGTCATTTTTTGCATCTATCCACATCACCACAAGTGCCAAATATATTTCTTTATTTAGACAAATTAAACTGCTGGCCGTCTGTGTCACTCTGTGATTATCTGGGGGGAGCTCAAAACGTTATTTACTTGTGGTGTATTTAAAATACGTTCAACCGTTTATATTTCGCAATCAAACACAATGGAATCTCAGTGATAACCGCCGGATCAGGATTTTATATTCTCCTAACTCCGAGTATGAGGGATAGGCGTACTAAGAGAGAGAGTATTTATAAATAAATACACGGTCACGATCACGACCAGTCACGCCTATCACTATTTTATAAATCATGGAGTTACATAGTAGAGAGAGTCATCGGTTACGTGACTCGTAAATAAATATATGAAAACGTATTAACGGTCATATACGGTTTAACGTTTTGAAATCCTGCACTCAAAAACCAAAAAAGTTGAACGAGCCAAACTGCCAAACTGCCAAGGGCCAAATTAATTCAAACGACCCTATGAACGAGCCCTCTAAAAGGGAGCGAATAATATTTATAAGACCCCATTATGCCTCATTTCGAGTTTCGGAGATAGACCCTCGAAGTCCTAGGGGGTACTTCGTTTTCAAGGCCAAGCTCTACTAGAGAGGACTACATAGTAGTATTTAGACCGTCGTAGGGGTTATTTAGTTGGGGGGCGCTGAAACACGGATGTACCACCACTCAGGAAATACTGCGTGGTGAGTGGTGAGTGCTGGCAGGAGGGCGCGTAGTCATGGCTTTTTTTACGAATACATATTCCAAAAAAAAAAATATGACAACATTTCACTTATTACTATTTACATAGTTTACTCACAGTCTCACACTCCCCCCTGTGAGCGACTGAGACTGGACTGGGAATATTCAATATCTGTATTATACCGACCGGTTTATCAATGTACGTTCACTTTGGTCAGACTTAGCCACACCGTACATACGCACTGCATGCGGGACCCGGTGGAAAGCGTGTCAAGTGGAGACCGTGAAGATCATTGAAAAGAAAGAGTGAGGGAGAGAGTGTATTAGTAGTCAGATTGTATTTGAAGCGTGGTAGCATAGCCACAACACATACATAGATACTTCAACCACTGCGATTCCGTTGTATCAGCTACGTGAAAGAAGCAAACGACGCATTCAAACACGATGGACCATTTGGCACATGATACTCCAGACAGGGACTTGTCATCGAGTGAAGATGAGTTCTTTGACGCCGAAGAGTCCCCCAGACCATCTCCTAATTCCAATCAAACGGCATCCAAATTAAGCGAACTAAGTGGCCAAACGAATACAGCACTAAACCTTACTAGCCATATCAGTGATGTCAACTGTCCAGTTGGTACCCCTACGAAACCCGCTAAACTAATAATAAGTGACATTGGCGCGGAAGGAACAAAGACACCTGTGAATACGCCTTCTGCCATGAGCTTCCTTATAAATCCAGGTGAGCTATTTGTTGAACTGACTGTGATAGCAGGTAGATCACAGGCATACTTGTTATATATATATATATATATGTATGTATGTATGTAAGTATGTATGTATGTATGCATGCATGTATGTATGTATGTATGTACGTATATAATATATATATATATATAGGATATATATATATATATATATATATATATATATATATTAACACATAAATTTATATATAAATATATATAAAAATAATGC